CATTATATGGAACTTATGTGAAGAGAAATGCTAAACAACATGAAACCATAGCCGGTAATGACAAAATATTTGGAGATCAGCAATGGGTCTTGGATAGTTATGCCTCAAACCACATGACACCATTGTTTTCACTTCTAAATGGAGTCAAAAATCTTGAAAAAAAAATCATTCTATATCACTGTATCCGCAAGGAACACATTGTTGGTTAAAAAAATGGGGTTTATTAATCTCAATAAAGATATCAAGTTGAATAATGTTTTATTTATGCCCAATTTTAGCTATAACTTGATATCCATTCATCAATTGACAAATGATATAGGTTGTACAATGACTTACCATGCTAATTATTGTGTGATACAGGACTGGACGACGAAGAGGACGATTGGATTAGGTGATTTACATGATGGGGTTTATGTACTGAAAAGGGCAACACAAGGAACATCTCTAGCAATAGTTTGAAGGGATACAACTACTCTTTGGCATGTAAGGATAGGACACCCTTCAACTCTAATTCTATAATGCCTTTCTCGTTTACCTAAATGTAATTTTGATTTTAATAAAGTTGATTGTTATGATATTTGTCACAATTCCAAACAATGTAGGCTTCCTTTTAACCAAAGTGATAATAGAGATATGAAATCTTTTACTCTCGTACATTGTGATCTATAGGGGAGGTATTGTACTGCATCACACGTATGTTCACATTATGTTCTCACCATTGTTGATGATTTCATATGTGGGAAATGGGCTTACTTACTAAAAGATAAAACAAAAGTTGTTGGCACCTTAATGAGTTTTTGCAATATGGTGAAAACACAATTTAACACTAAGGTAAAAAGGCTTCGAAGTGATAACAAGACTGAGTTTACTAATGTTATGATCCAACTGTTTTCCTAAGAAGATGGAATTATGCATGAAACATCTTGTGTAGGGACACCACAACAAAATGAACTTTTTGAGAGGAAACATAGACACATTTTCAATGTTGCAAGGGCACTAAGATTTCAGGCCAATCTCCTTGTATCTTTTTGGGAATAGTGTGTGTTGACAGTCACCTACATCATCAATAGAACGCCTACTATGGCTAATGAAGGACTTACTCCCTATGAGTTGTTATTTAAAAGATCACCATCTTATGACCTTTTAAAGGTTTTTGGATGTCTATGTTATGTAAAGTGTTCCTCCAAATAACAAGACAAGTTTGATCCGAGATTTGGTGAGTCATGACCGTGATCTCCTCGGCCTTCAACGCATTCCTGAGACAAAATGAATCGTGGGCGTGACTGGTGAGTCACGACCGTGATTGACACATTTCAAAAATTTTTAGTTTTTGCGCGTGAATCACAGATGTGACTCGCCAGTCACGGTCGTGATTCTCCTTGCTTGTAGTCTTCATGATATCCTTCACTACTTATGATCCTTTACTTGGCTTAAACTCTGTAGAAACAACTAAAACATACCAAAAGTGCATTAAAGTAGAAAAGGAAAAACAATAAGCTATCCTAACCATATTTAAATACTAAAATGCATGGAAATGTTTGCTTTCTAGGGCTAAAATGTAGATAAAATTACAAGCGATCAATAAGATATTTCCCTAAAAATATTTTGAAGAGGACATGTTTGAATAAATATATTGAACATGACTAGGATACTTAGTAAGTCTATACGATATTGTAATTAATGAAGGGTTAACCTTTAGAATCCTTTATCTTTGCCAATGTCAACAACAAAACAACTAGTCCAAATTCATGCTTACCTAAATAAGTTTTCAATCTAGTGGTAAATATTTTCTAAAATGTACATGAAATTATATTGCTCTTACAATGAAGCCATGATTAAAAAAATATTTTAATTTCACAGTGCGAATATTTACAACAATCCAAATTTAGAGTATTTAATGTCATGTCAATTATTTACCCTTGATCTCATGATCAAGACCACTTTCTTTAGGTTATTATCCATTTGCCATTGAACTACACGAAGTAACTCACCAATAACATCTGGTAATAGGAAAATTTTGTCAAAATATATAATTCACTTTAGAAAAGCAATTTCTTGTAATTTTCAATAGCAATATGAGATTATCTATCAATACATTTGCATGCCGATTTCCATTAATAATAACACAAAAGGGTGTGGAATAATACACATATGGAGGAATGTTAACCAAATCGTATTCCTTGACTATGGTTCATTTAACAAAATTCAACTTGTATCCATGTTTTGATGCTCTATAACCTCCACAATTTTTTTCAACTTCAAAATTTTATACTATGTAAGAAGCACCTTCTTTGAGTTGAGCTTTCCATTTTTTAATGTCCAGATGTTTTACAATAACTTGTATTTTGTTCCCTAAATTGAGTAATAAGAAGAGATTAACCATGCAATAAATTATGCATATGTTATATTTTGATTCATAATAAGAGATAATTATATTTCTATCCATGAATAACATCTTAATTGTTGTTGACCTTTGAACTCTTAGAATAGTCCAAATATTTATAATTCTAGCCACTAATTTCCAAGTTCTTTTAGAGTCATTAATGTCCTTGATTAAATTTAATAATAAAAAATAAATGTTACAAATGATATATATATATTATAGGAGTAAGTTTACCTAGACTTACTCTGTTCAATAACTCATGTTCTACATCAAATTTCAACGATCCAACTGTTCAATTTAAAATTCTTAATGCATAGATCAAATATGCAAATTTTTAGAAAATTTGAAAATCATTTGATACTTCATTTCATTAATTCAAATTGAGGAATAATCATAAAATCATTTTATTCATTGATTCGAATATTAATGAAATGAAGTATCAAATGATTTTCAAATTTTCTAAAAATTTGCATATTTAATCTATGCATTAAGAACTTTAAATTGAACAGTTGGATCATTGAAATTTGATGTAGAACATGAGTTATTGAATAGAGTAAGTTTATATAGACTCTCCTAAAGTAAAATGATCTATCATCTCTATATATATATTATAAGAAAAAGAAACTTATGCGTGATAATGATGAGAAAATAAAAGATTTATGCAAAAGAAAAGATGAAGAGTAAAGTAATGAAGAGAAATATAAAAAAAAGTGAATTCCATTTAAATTGCAAAAAGAGGGTAATTTGGATTTGAAAAATGATCTTCTGTCTATGTAACTTCTTATTCATATAAGGCTATATCCCGTTTATTGCTAATTGTTGGTTGCAAATCTCCATATGATTTATTTTGGTTGCAAAATTCCCTTTTATTACTAAGGATTGATTTCCCTTCTAATTATCAAGCATTATACATTTTAATTTTGTATATTAAAATAAAATAATACCCTCACTAAAAGAATAGGAGAGATGAGCTTTCAATTTTACTGAAAGCTGTTTTAATTTGAAAAGACGATTTTAATGTTAAAAGCTATTTTCATATTTATTGTTTGTTCTATTTTTCTTTTAAAAAAATAAAAGCATTTTAATATAATAGGTTAAATACCTCTTTTGGTCCCTTATAATGTTTTTTTGTTTCAATTTAGTCTCACTTTAATTTTTAGTCTCAATTTGGTCCCCAATAACTTAAATTAGTGCAATTTGGGACTTCCGTCCAAATGATTTAGACGAAGTTAACTGTTGGCCACGTGGCATTTACGTGGATGCCACGTGGATACGTGGACGCCAAAATTCTTGAAAAAACCTGGAACCAGAACGGCCCGTTCTGAAACCAAAACGACCCGTTCTGAAACCAGCACGGGCCGTTCTGATATTAGAATGGGCCGTTCTGGTTTTAGAATGGGCCGTTCTGCTTTTAGAACGGGTCATTCTGAATTTAGAACGGCCCGTTCAGAACGTCATGCTTTTTATTATTTTTTTATTATATCTATATTAATAAATATATAATAAATATAAAATACAATAAATTAATATTCATTTATGAATAAAACTAAAAAAAAATCAAATAAGATAAGACCTTCCAAAATATTTCTTTGATTTGAATTTATCCAGCTCAAAATCTTGACTAAAATGCCGCAATGTATTTCAAAAATTGAAAATAAAATTCAGGGTTTAGGGGTACCTCCTCAAGAACAGGTTGTTATTGTTGGAGTACATCGTCAATGACTTTAAGGAAAAACACTATTTCGTTTTATCTTTGACTGTATAATGTCAATTTGGTAGGAAGTGGTTCACTCCAGTTTGACTAACAATGAAATAAAACTTGTTAACATTGTCCTTAGTGATACACTGCATCATCCTTAATGATATACTGTATAGCCAAAATGTTTAGCGATTGAAGTTATTAATCCTCATTAACAATATTACTATAAAAAAAAATGCTTTGTATTTTGGTTTTTTTTGCACGAAATTCTGGACCAGAACGGCCCGTTCTGGGTATACTGTTGATGTGTCAATTTTGGATCTGGAACGGCCCGTTCCAGGTGCAAATTTTGCACACCAAAAATGTAACCAGAACGGGCCGTTCTGGTTTCAGAACTGGCCGTTCTGGTTCCAGGTGTATTTCAGTATTTTTGGATCCACCTACGTGGCATCTACGTGGCATCCACTTGACATCCACGTAACCACCAGTTAACTCCGTTTAAATCATTTAGACGGAGGTCCCAAATTGGAACGATTTAAATTATTGGGGACCAAATTGAAATCAAAAATTAAAGTGGGACTAAATTGAAACAAAAAAATATTGTAAGGAACCAAAAGAGGTATTTAACCAATATAATACTTCCATATATTTACATGAAGTTGTTTTCAGTTGCATAAAACTATTTTGATATTATAAAAAATTGTCTTCATATTTTGTATTTTATTTTAAAAAAAATAATATTAAATAAAATAAAAATAATAAAAATTAATATAAATATAAAAATTTAAGTTTAATTCTTTCGTATTTAAAAAAAAATAAATGAGATAGATAATATGAGTCCGATGCAGATACACATGAAGGAGACACGTAGACAAGCAGAATAACACAGCGAGTCAGACTCAGACATCTCTAGAAAGAAGGAGGAAAAAAAAATAGAAAAAGAAAAGCACAAATGGCATTGCGTCACTTACGATTCTTCCCTCACACGCTTCCTCTCACTCTCACTCCCAAACCCAACAATAACCGCTTCACTCCCTCACACTCTCTCTCTTCCTCAATCATGGCCAACGCTCACAAGGTCCTCGTTCCGATCGCCGACGGCACCGAGCCTATGGAGGCCGTCATCACCATCGACGTCATCCGTCGTGCTGGCGCCGACGTCACCGTCGCTTCCGCCTCCTCCAACCTCGCCGTCCAAGCCCTCCACGGCGTCAAGATCCTCGCCGATGCCTCCGTCTCCGACGTCGCCGCCACCGCCTTTGACCTCGTCGCTCTCCCTGTACCTCTCTCATCTATGCTTCATGGATTGTGTTTACCTTGTTAATCATCGAATTATAGATGTTTACGATAAATTGATTAGTCATAACTCATTATTGTAATTTAACATCATGAGTTGATTCGGTGTTAGTTTTTCTTTGTTACTGGATTTAACCTCAAATTAGTCCACGGAGTTGTATTTTAAACCCTCGTCGAGTTTATGAATAGTGCCGTGTTTAGAAGAATATATAATATATGCATCGACATTTGTAAGGATTTTTTTACCTAATTATATAAACTATATATATTTTTAATTTAATAATTTAGTTAAAAAATTGTGAAAAACTCATGAAGAGTGCAGTTGAATTCAATTTGTATTTGTTTGGAAATGATTTCTGATTGTCATAAAACCATCACTATTAAACTCTTTTTTAGAAAGTCAGAGACTAAAATACTGACATTTTAAATCGTTGTTATTATTATTATTATTATTATTATTATTATTATTATTATAATAATAATTATTATTATCTGTGTGTGTAGGGAGGGTTACAGGGTGTTGAGAATCTGAGAGACAGTAAAGTTCTGGAAGGGTTGGTGAAGAAGCATGTCGAGGATGGACGGCTTTATGCTGCGGTGTGTGCTGCTCCTGCGGCAGTGCTTGGGCCTTGGGGTCTGCTCAATGGGTTGAAGGTAATGTTTGCTTGCAATTCACTTTGTGATGTTGTGTTGTTGATGGTGGTGGCTTTGGTGACTCTGTGCGTGTGTGTGACTGTGTGGTTGTTGGACAGGCGACTTGTTATCCTTCATTGATGGAGAAATTGGCCTCTTACGCAGCCTCTACTGTTGAGTCTAGGGTGCAGGTGGATGGCAGAGTTGTGACCAGTCGTGGCCCGGGAACTACCATGGAGTTTGCTGTTGCATTGATTGAGCAGTTGATTGGAAAAGAGAAAGCGGATGAAGTTGCAGGTCCACTGGTGAGGTCTTTATTCGTGCCTTGATATGTAGCATATAAGGTGACTAGTGCGAGGGAAATTGACCTTCATCATCCATGTAAAATTAAATGATCAAAATTAGTTCATCTCTCCTCTCACGCCATGACCTGATAGTCTGATACCCTCTTTATATTCATAACCGTGGTGCCTATTTATAACCATTAATATGCTTAATCTGTCAGTATCCAGAAATAGTATGGGAATTAATATGGTTGGTAATAGGTAATTTGGTTTTTTGTGAGTGGTTGCTAGATTATTTCAATAGACTTCTTTATGACAAACCCTCACTGTCATGTTCTGTGATACCTGGAAATAAAAATGGGCATGCGTTATGCTTTGGGAATTGGGATTTGAACAATTTTGAGGCTTTGTGAGTATCTGGAAGATGAATTTGTTGCTGAAACGAGGCAGAAAAAAGATATTCTCAAAACAGCAGCTGTTTGTGGTTTATGATTAAGGTACTGTTTGGATAAACTTTGTAGCAAGCACTAGGAGAAGAAGCAAATAAGAAGGTGAACTGATTTGAGCTTCTCCCAAAAGTTAAAATCAATTCATGCACTTCAGCTTCTGGAGAAATTAAATGAGAGACCTTTTTAGAAGTTAAGTGTTTAGCTTATGGGAGAAGATCAATTTATTTTACCTTCTATAAAGTGCTTATGAAGATGTTTATTCAAACTGTTAGTTAGAAGCGCTTTTGAGAGCTTCTTTGTCAAAAATAAAAGAGTATTTTTAAGTAGAAAAACTCTAAAAAATACTTATAAGTTTGTATCTAAACAAGCTTTTAATACTATATCTTTTTTGAGTTATTGTGGTATAATTGCAAAAGGACACAACTGTGAGATTGTGTCATTGACTGTTTATACTTGAAAGAAGCTAGATGTGCTTTCTGCTCTACGATGGTCAACATGAAATCATGTATATCCACAGAAATGGGAGAGGGAACTGAGTGATTGACAGCTGAAAATTTCATGTTTCATGCAAGTCATGTTTGTGCTACGAAGTTGAACTCTAACAATTAAGATGTTGTAGAAGAGTTTGCCCGGTGTTTTTAGACCCTTGAGATACCCCCATAAATATATATAAAAAAAACAAATTTAGTTTAATTCACACTTCTTAGGATAAGCTTATTGGTAATGTATGAGTTGGCTGGTGCATGAGTGCATTGAGTATTCTACTGCTGAATTTTCTACATACAATACACGTGCTATTTTTTGTACACTTTATGATATCAAATCCTTGCTATGATGTAAAATACTTTCCTTTTCCTCATCAGATTCTCGTGTAATTCAACGTTCAGGTCATGCGTTCCAATCATGATGATGAACATACTTTTAAGGAGCTTAACCCAGTGCAGTGGACAGTTGACAATCCACCCAAGGTGAGGTTTTGACATTTTTGCAGTAATTTTTCGTGTATTGACAACAATATCTCAGAAAGGAAGCACAACTATTATTATTTGAACATCTTTGGTAGGAATATGTCTACACCCTACAAAGATAAATTTTGTCACTGGATTTGTAACTTTGACATCTATTGTTATGCTTACCTGTTTTTCAGATTCTTGTACCAATTGCTAATGGTTCAGAGGAAATGGAAGCTGTGATTATCATTGATATTCTGCGAAGAGCAAAGGCAAAGGTTGTGGTTGCTTCTGTTGAGGATAAACTAGAGATTGTGGCTTCACGCAAAGTTAAACTAGAGGCAGACATGCTCCTTGATGAAGCAGCCAAACTTTCATATGACCTTATTGTGTTGCCTGTAAGGTGGCTTCTTATTTTCTTCATAGTAATGAATCAGTACATAGTATTTAGTTTGTGTATATATTTCAATTTTCTACAGGGCGGACTTGGTGGTGCCCAAGCTTTTGCCAACTCAGAAACCTTGGTGAGTTTGCTGAAAAAGCAAAGAGAATCAAACAAATATTATGGAGCAATTTGTGCATCCCCGGCTTTAGTCTTGGAGCCCCATGGCTTGCTGAAGGTATCTATTTTCTGGGTCAATCTGTAATCCTTTCAAAGTAAACTTTCAGTAAAACAGCAATAATGTACATTCAATTCTCTTAGTTGTACGGAACACGATCTAAAGCTCATTTGGTTTGGTTTTCTGTAATCAACCCCGTCTCATGGTCACTAATTAGCAGGATTTAGAAAAGCATGCATGGCAAACTGTAAAGTAGTGTTCAAGTTCATTATTATCGAAGACACTTTCTGCTGATGCTAAATCCTCAGTGAAGTCTTCATTCTAATCATTATATGGTATTATAAAATGCTTGCAACTTGCAAGGCCTAAATATTTGTTTGAGCTTGAGTTCCGGTATGTACTTCGTTTTATGGCTTTATTCTTCACCATGTTTGTTAATCTGAGACGTGATTTTATATTTTCTTTAATACAGGGTAAAAAGGCCACTGCCTTTCCTGCAATGTGCAGCAAGTTATCAGATCAGAGCGAAGTAGAAAACAGGGTGATAGTTGATGGTAACCTTGTTACCAGCAGAGGCCCTGGAACCACCTTCGAGTTTGCATTTGCTATTGTGGAAAAGCTGTTTGGACGCGAATTAGCATTAGAACTTGCGAAGACAATGGTGTTCGCACGTTCGTAGGATTTTTGAATGCGAAGCTTTTTGTACGGATGCTTATAGATTTGTGTATGAATAATTTATCTGAATCTTGAGTTGTAAAGAACACGAAGATAAGTGGTTGCTTATAACTTGGGCATCTCATTTGTAGTTTTGCTTCCATTATGCCATGGAGTCTAAATTACTTAAATGGAAGGAGAGTTCCTTTGGAATTATGCTGGGGTTATAATACAGCCTAAGATTTATTATTATTTTTTTCTTTTGCGGTGGAAATATCTGCTTTACACTATGAATTAAAATGGTGAAACTCTCATTTTTCTCTATTTTTTAATTTAATATTTTTTTTCTCTTCTCTCTGATGTATTTCATACGCTATTCTACAACTTCATATACGTGGGTTTTAGCTTTGCCAAAAATAATACAAAGGTGTGCCTTTTCGGATAGATTCATTGGATGCCTTCTAATAAATTTTGCATATGGCTGCGATAGAATTAGGCCTAGAAATTTCATTAGATTTCATTAAATTGTTGGACAACCTTGGCTAATGTATGAAGATCTTTGGGATCTTCTTTCTCAACAATTAAGCATCGATAAAACGCTGTAGAAGGGACATCTCAACCGTGGAGGATCGACCTTTGGGGGAAAGACCAGGAATCAGTCAAGAGCTTTCATCCTCCAGGTTCTCTGAAAAGTTCTGTAGACTATTGCGTTTAGAATAACAATAAATAACATTTCATTGAGGACGAATTTTAAGTGCATAATGGGGCTTTTCTCTCATATGCATGGCTTGATAAAAAAAGGGAGATCAGTATCTATCTGTTATTTCAACAAAAGCAATATGTTCAGCAAAAAGATGCAGAAGCACATTCTAATCTATCATGTGTGATATGGTTCACCACAGTGACCAGACCACCTGGAGCTCAATAAATGAACTCGTTTCTGCAATGAGGAAAAGAAACGGAATAGTCCTTTCTATTTTCCACCATTCTCGTTCTTGACTTAATAATGTATACACTATTTGTCTTGGAATAAAAAGCACTGTAGGTATTACGTGCAAATAGTTGCACATGATGAAGCCGTGAAGGAGATCATGGCAGCATGGAAAATTCAGAAGAATCAGAACAATAGTTGATAGCCTTTTTTTATTGATACAAATAATGATAGATTTTTGCTGCCTGTAAGTATGAACTATGCATTGTCATTGATGAAAAAAATAGATTAAAATCCGCGTAAGGACTGTAACGAGTACCTAAAACTAAAACTGTTGTAAATCTGATCTAGTTTCTGGTCCTGTAACATCGGAACCAAAGAATAAAAAAGCTAAGCACTCTATACCCCACTATGAAGCTCAACATTACAGCCAAATTGGTCCATTTTTGTGAATCTTTCAGACCCTGTTGTCTCAAGAATTCAACTCCATAAAGTATGCATTTTCCATTTCTAACTTCTAAGCATCTTGTTTTCCCTTGCTCTCCCCCATACTCATTTATCATAAGACACTCAAATGGATACTTGAATAGGCTCAAATAGTGCATAAAAATCCAGTAACATGGTATTTTTTCCTTGGATATGAAATACCCTGAGAATAGAAAGAAAGACCCCATTAGACCTGCAATCACTGAGGTTCCCAGGATGAAATTTGGCACTATAGCACTGAAACAAGCCACAAGAGAATTCGACATGAGTAGGACCAACCAAACCACTAAGGAGAAGTAAAGGAAACCATCAATGCCTTTCCTTAATCCTACCAGCCAATAAACTGGTGTAGAGAACAGAAGACCAACCAATAGAAGGAAAGGAACGAACACAAGGGTGTTTGATAAAACATAGGAAGAAACTCTATAAGCTCCTCTTGAAGTCTCTCTGATAAAAGTTCTTCTCTCCTCCAAGAAAATGGGCAGGCCTTCTGTTGTTGATGATAACAAAAAGGTAAGGCTGAAAGCAAAGAAGCCACTTCTTGTTTGCAATGCTACATGACTTCGTTGATTGCCAACATCAAAAAATATGCTCCCCAGTACAAAACCAGCTACTAAAGCCTGTATGACCCTGGTGACAAAGAGTTGCTTGGTTCTGAATATGTTGCAGCAAAATCTTTGTCCCAGGATTGAAATCTCCTCCATTGGAGAATTCGAGTACTTAAGTGCCCTCTCTTTGACAACCTTAGAGTACTGCGTCATTGTTTTGTGACCTTGGTTCTCTTTGTATTTGAGCAGAAACTGGTTGTCCCCAGATTCTGGAGTATGTATAACCAAGCTTTGCATGACATCAAGAGCAAACTCAAGGACATTGACATGATCCGGAATGTGGTGCCCTGCTAACTTGAGGCCAGTCTTAAGAAGACTCAATGATCCATTATGCATCACAAATCCATCAGACAGCAAAATGAGGCCATCAAAAAGCTCCAAGATTCTGAAACCAGGTTGGTGGATAGTTAAAACAATTGTCTTACCTTGGTTAAATGCCACAAGTCTAAGCAATGAGACAACACTAAGAGCTGACGCTGAATCCAACCCTGAAGTTGGTTCATCAATCAAAATAACTGCAGGGTCATGAACCAAGTCCACACCTATGGAAACTCGTCGCCTTTCGCCACCGGATATGCCGTGATCTGATCCACCTCCAATTCTTGAATCTGCAACGTGGTCCAACCCAAGCTCCTTCATCAACTCTGACACTCTTGCGGCAGCAACTTTTCTCCCCACAGGAAGCCTCAGCATGGCACTATACATGAGTGTCTCTCTAACTGTCAGTGATGGGAACAAAGCATCTTCTTGTGTGACATACCCTGATGTTCTTCTAAACCGGTTCACATCCATAGGCCTATGATTCACAAGCACTTGGCCTGACACTTTACATGGGGGGATCCTCCCAGCAAGGATCTCAAGCAGTGTGGTTTTTCCAGCTCCACTAGGGCCAGCAATAGCAGTTATCTCCCCCGGCCTTGCCTCACAATTCACATCCTTCAAAATGAACTTGCCACCTCTCCCTGGATTGGAACCAAAACAAAGACTTCTATATTCATCAAGCTGGCTGCACAACTTGTATGACAAATTCTTGGTTTCTATTCTGTATGGAGCTTTTTTGGTGCATGAGACGGGCTTGAATGTTGACCCCATTGTGTGGTTTTTCGTGTGCATGCAAAGTGAGAGAAGAAAGGCATGTATTGGCTAAGTTATGTGAAGAATTGGAGATAGAGTGCAAGGTAGGGAGATGAGCTAACACACCAAACTGTACGCTAGTTATCAAGCTAAAGAAGCCAACGTTGATTTTGTAATGCAAATGGACTTTGAGTCTTTGACAAACAAGGGACTTGACTTGATATACTCTTGTATTTTTTACTTTTTTTATATAATTATAATATTGGTAAGAAGTATTCATCGACTTTGTTGATGACTAATCTTTGTGTGAGGAAATCTGATCACTTTGAGTATGGTCTCTCTTCCCAATTATGATATTTAATTTTTAAGATTCAAATTTGAGATCTTGCTTCTAGTACTACTCAAATCAATTACTTGTTTCGTACACTTTTATTTCTATGTGTGTGGGATTTGGAAAGAGTTTGGCAAGTGAAAGTACTTCAAGAAAACCAAAGAAAGAAGAGAAGTTTACTAAGAAAGTTTCTTTTTGGTGAGCTGATAATTGACTGTGCAGTGTTGGTGGTTGGTTGCCCCACCATCTTACCCACATGCTGATGCAACTCGGAGTTTGGTTGGTGTAAGATTAATATTATCAAATTCAGTTTTGCAAGTTAAGTGAAATAATCCTTTTCAACTGTGATTTAGCATTTTCTGTCTGGATTTTATTCAACTGTTGGTAACGTTGCTTATTTCTTAATTTAATGGATTGATAATTCTGCTTGGTTAAGAATGGGTAAACTCCTAATGAAATTTGTTTAATCAATGTGTCTTTTTTGTGCCTGTAATAAACAACGTTTGTTTGTTAGCTCAAACCCTTAATTTTAAAATGGTTCGGTCTGAACAAAGTATATTTTAAGATCTTTCAATCTTAAAACAGAAAGACACTCATTACTAATAAGGGCTTATTATGTAATAGAACTTTTTGATAATTAAGGTTCGATTTAATGAAAATCAGTCTGTTTTACTTTTACTTTTCGTAGTTAAGAAAATCCTTAACTCTAAATCCAAAAACCTAAACTTTTCGATCTCCTAATTTAATATTAGCACTGTACTATCTTGAAAATACAATTTATTATTTATAATATATTAAAAATAAGTTATATTAAATCAATCAAAATCAATGAATTTTTGAAATATAAAAATGAAAGTTATATACTAAAAAATACCTTAAAATGTTTAAGTAAATTATATTATTTGAGGTCTAAACTAATGTCCTTTTATCTTTTGGTTGCTTCTTAAAACCTGAGTACTGTAAAAAGCGCCGCTTGTGAAGGAATAAAGATCTGAAGGAGAGGATCATCTTATTGCAACTTTACTTTTGCAAGAGTTTTTATCTAGTGTTCTAAAATTGAGAAGATAATGGGAGAGAGGTTTTGGGGAATGACGAGGGGGAGTCAACCACTGTCGGAGCCGCCGGACGGGGGCGTTGGAGGCCTCCAGATGGGCCAGTCGATGACATTCAAGGAGAAGGTTCTGGGCGCCCCGGCCGAGCGGCCGGCTGTTCGAGATCTCCTTAAGGAGGGGGCTATGACTTTGGAATTTGAGGGTGGAGATCGGTTGCTACCCAAGTTTAGCATCACAGCACCCACCTTTAAGCAGTTGTGTGAACCATAGGAACAGTGCCTAGTGATCAAACTGCTAGGACGACATGTGGGGTTCTTAACCTTGCGGGACAGGTTGCCTGCCCTGTGGAAGGTTCAAGGAGGTATCGAGTTGCTGGACGTGTCACATGGTTACTTCATGGTGAAGTTTGATTTGGAAGCGGATAGAGAACGGGTCATGCACGGGGGACCTTGGATGCTCTTTGATCACTATCTGATTGTTCGACCATGGTCCCCGGAGTTCGTCGCCTCAGCAACAAAGGTTGACAGTACTCTCGTCTGGATTAGGTTCCCAGGGCTTGGCGTTATGTTCTATGATGAGAGTGTTCTCCTAACAATTGCATCTGCCATAGGGAAGCCAATCAAGGTGGACCTTAATACTCTAAACATGACACGGGGTAGGTTTGCATGGGTCTGTGTGGAGATAAACCTCAATGAACCAGTCGTAGGGAGGTTCTTCCTCAATGGTGTTTGGTATAACGTGGAGTATGAGGGTTTACACTTGCTGTGCTCGTCGTGTGGATGTTATGGACATGTTCTGCGAGATTGTCTCAAGGTAGCTAGGTCTAAGACAATGGCACACGTAGTGGGAGGGAAGGAGGCGGTGGAGTAGCCGTCAGGAGATACACCGTAGAATGAAGATTCTGCTGTCCAACCAAGAGAGCAATTAATTCCGCAGGATCAAGGGGATATCACGCCAGTTACGCATGGAGACTGGTTGATTGTGAAACGCAGAAATCAGAAGCAGATTATGGGGAAATCGTGGAACAAGGGTAAATATTCTGGTCATAATGGGCTTGCGGATAGCAAGGAGAAGAATCAGGCTATTCCAATTTATCCTACGAGGGGCATTCCAGTTCAGGGTGAATCACGTGAGGATTTTAATAAACCACGTGAGGTGCTTGTGAACAATAATTCACGTGAACAGAGACATGCACGAGACGCATGCAACACCGACGTGGGCCACGGGAAGACCAGGATTGAAGCTGCAATGGGACCCATTAAGGACAATAAAAAATGCAGCAGAGTGGAGACAGTAGGTGGTCGCTCACGGCCCATGGCAGCTGGTGGGAATATGTTGTCCACGCATGCAAGTTTCCCTCTCGAAGAACCACGTGTTACGCAGGATGCAGTGACCCTTGGTGCTCGTCCACGGCCCATGCTAGCTGGAGGGAATATGCTGGTTGCGCCTGCTTGCTCCTCTCTCGGTGATCCACGTGATGGGCAAGATGGAATGATTGGGGGCGTGGAGAGGAGGTTAAATGCCAACGTGACCCAAATCGGGTGCACGACCCAAGTAGCTCAGGAGTTAGAAGATAGTGGACTAGCAACACCGGGGACAGAGGATTTTATGCAGTTTAACCAGCCATTGGAGGAGGCCATGTTGGCGTGAGTTCTTTCGTGTCTTGTTTATTAAATGATGACAGATTTTAATATTTTGTGTTGGAACATTCGAGGGGCTGTTAATGCCAAAGGTAAGAGGAGGGTCTCAGAGATAATAAGGCTTCACCACCCGTCTATTTTTATTGTCTTGGAAACCCATTGCCAGTTTTCTTCGGTAGAAGCCTTTTGGAGGAAGATGGGCTATCAGTTGTGTTATAGCAGCGAGGCTACGGGGCATTCCGGGGGTATTTGGGTTTTGATGGAGATGTCTTGCTCTGCTACGACCTCTGAATTTGCCTCTCACCCCCAGGCTATTTCGTTCACGGTCGTTGAAGGAAACAGGAGTTGGTTTTGTACTGCCGTTTATGCTAGTCCTAGGGTGGACCTCAGACAACAGGGCTGGGCTCATCTTCGGGAGTTGGGGGACCGAGTCACAATGCCATGGCTAGTGCTTGGGGACTTCAACGAAGTTATGTTGTCGACGGAGTGTAGGGGTGGTTGATTCTCGATGGCTAGGGCATCGCAGTTCCTAGAGGTTTTGAATGATTGCAATCTCCTCGACATGGGGGCTAAGGGCCTTTGCTTTACGTGGTACCGAAATCACCGTGGGTCCGTGCTGGCAAAGCATTTAGACAGAGCGGTGTGCAACGTTGCGTGGCAAGCAATGTTTCCGGAAGCCTACGTTGAGAACCTGTGTAGGGTCTATTCTGATCATTGCCCTCTTTTACTGTGTCGTGACGGCTCAAGGGACAAGGCTCAAGATCAACCCTTCCGGTTTCAAGCCGCGTGGGCCACCCATCGAGATTTTGAGCGAATTGTTAGAGAGGCATGGAGTCGAAGTACGCCGACCTTCGCTAATGGGTTACGGGCTATCCGAGAAGATGCTACCAAGTTCAACAGGGAAGTGTTTGGGAATATACTTACCAGGAAGAAGGCGCTCCAACGTCGTCTTAAAGGGGTACAGTCACAACTCAAGTTAGAAGATTCAGAGAGCCTATCGCGCTTAGAGAAGGCTTTGCAAGCCGAGTTGGATGAAACTTGTCTTTAGGAGGAGTACTTATGGTTCCAGAAATCTAGAGAGAAGTGGGTGAAGTTTGGGGACCGTAACACATCCTTCTTCCATGCGCAAACTCTCGCGAGAAGACAGAGGAATAAGATACATGGATTGTTTTTACCAGATGGGTCTTGGCATACGGATCCTGCGGTCATGAAAACAGAGGCAATCAGATTCTATAAGGAGCTTTTCTCGGGTGATGACGAGCAAGGGCCTCTGGATATGCTTACTGGAGTTCTGCCTGGCTTGGGAGTTGAGGCCCAGTCTGCTCTAACTGCCTCAGTCACGAAGGAGGAGGTTCGCCGGGCAGTGATGAGCATGAAGTCGTTCAAGGCACCAGGGCCGGATGGGTTTCAACCGTTCTTTTTCAAACATTATTGGTCTGTAGTGGGGGATGAACTATGGAGTACTGTGAAGGACGCCTTTCGGTTGGGGTTCTCGGACTCATCGCTTTTGGAGACACAAATGGTGTTAATTCCGAAGGTCAATCATCCAGTTCGCCTCAAAGATTTTCGTCCTATAAGCTTATGCAACGTCGCCTGGAAGGTTATTTCCAAGGTCATTGTGGCTCGCCTTCGACCTTTCTTGCAGGATGTCATTGGCCCTTTCCAGGGTAGCTTTATCCCTGGGAGGGGAACTCGTGACCACAGTATTATTGCTCAGGAGGCCTTCCATTTTGTTCGAAAAGACGGCTCAGGTGGGGGTTCTTTGGCCTTGAAAATTGACCTAGAGAAAGCATATGACAGGGTCAGGTGGGAGTTTTTGGAGTCTACGATGGTGAAATTTGGTTTCCCTACGATCACAATTCAACTCATCATGTGGGGGCTGAGGAATTCGTCAATCTCACTACTTTGGAATGGAAGTGCATTACCATCCTTTGTTCCGTCCCGTGGCCTTCGGTAGGGAGACCCATTGTCTCCATACCTGTTTGTTTTCTGCATGGAGCGTCTAGCCCTTAGGATATCTGAGTCGCTCCAGGAGGGTCATTGGAAATCGATTCAGCTATCTCCTGGGGGGCTACCGCTTTCACATCTTCTCTTTGCGGATGATATTTTGTTGTTCGGTCAAGCTTCCGAAGACCAAGCTTGTTTGGTGGCGTCAACCCTGGAGGAGTTTTCGCGCCCATCAGGTTTGAGAGTTAATCTGACTAAGTCTAAGTTTGTGAGCTCTAGAAGGGTTTCTCAAAGGAGGATCGATACGTTGGAGGGACTGCTAGGGATTAGTCATACGGCTCGGATCGGGGGGTATTTGGGGGTCCCCATGACGCATGGTCAGCCAAGATGCGCAGATTTTTATGATGTGATGGATAAGATCCAGGGTAGACTCGCGGCTTGAAAGTCCAAGCTTCTTAATAAGGCAGGGAAGTTGTGCCTGGTGAAGTCTACTATCTCCTCTATCCCTGTTTATAGTATGCAATCACTATGGCTTCCCCAAGCAGTGTGTAGTAAAATTGACCAAGCGTGTCGACGTATGCTCTGGGCGAAGCCTGACAATACAAGGTTTTGGTCTCCAGTGAGTTGGGAGGTTGTTACTCAACCCAAAGAGTTAGGTGGCCTTGGGGTTAGGGAGGCGCATAGGGTGAATGTATCCCTTCTTGGGAAGTTAGTTTGGGATATGCTATCGGCTCCACAGAAGCCTTGGGTGCATCTCCTCAGTAATCTATACCTTCATGGAGACTCTATCCTGTGTGCTCAAACCAGGCGGGGTGCTTCTCCAATCTGGTCGAGTATTATTAAGGCCCTACCTTCACTTCGTGAGGGATTCCAGCCTCACCTAAGGTCGGGTGCCTCATCCCTCTGGTACATGGACTGGACAGGTACTGGGTTTTGGTGCGGAAAAGTCCCTTTTGTTCACATTGCGAACACCAACAAGACGGTCGCAGACTGCTGGGAGAGTGGAGAATGGAACTTCAACATCTTGCACACTGTCCTCCCTACTGAATTGGTTCACTCGGTCCGTCAGTTGAGTGTCGTAAGTTCCTCCTTGGGGTTGGACCACTTTGCATGGAGGGGTGACATCTCGGGTTGCTACTCAGCGGCATCTGGGTATCGCTTTCTAACCCCGGTACGGTCATCGGAGGGGGATGAAGTTTGGAAGAAGCTTTGGAAGGTAATGGTCCCTGAGAAAGTGAAGTTTTTTTTTGTGGCAATGCCTTCATTTAGCCCTCCCAACGAATCAAGTTCGGGATGATAGGAGGTTGGCCGAGTCTGGTGCATGCTCGCGCTGTTCTTGCCCGCGTGAGACCATTTTACATGCTCTTCGGGACTGCCCGTACTCGCGGGAGGTGTGGATGTCTGGCGGGGTCAGCATGGGGTGGCCTTTCTCAGTAATGGACTGTTTTCAGTGGCTGAAGGGAATTATTCTGCACAAGGATGTTATTGAACTATCCATCACCTTGTGGTGGGTTTGGCGGTTTAGGAATCACATGTTGTTTAATGGCGAGCTGTGGCGGGTTTTGATGATCTGTCGGAAAGTGTTGCTGTCTACGGTGGAGAACAATGTGTATAATACTAAGAGGCGTTTAGGGGTGGAGCAAGCACTATGGAGGCCCCCAGAGCACCCGTGGGTCAAGTTAAACACGGACGAGAGTTGGTTGAGTGGGTCTGCTGCTATGGGGATGGGTGGCGTAATTCGTGATTGGGCCGGTATGTGGCGGGAGACTTTTCGCGTGGGGCTTCACAGGGAGATGCGTTACGTGCGGAGTTGTTGGCCTTGGAGGAGGGCTTATTGCTTTGTTGGGAAGGAGGATTTCGGAAAGTGAGCTGCGAATGTGATTGCCTGGGAGCTGTTACGATGCTGCAAGATCAGTCACCGGATAGGGACTACCTACATAAACACTATGATGTCATTCGTCGTGTTAAGCGAATGTTAGCTCGGGACTGGGTAGTGTACGTAACCTAGAGAGATAAATTCAGTAGCCCATACACTTGCTAGTTGGGGTGTACGTAACCTAGGTTCCACTGTATTTTGGAGAAGTCCTTCAGATTTTATCCTGCTACCATTAGGCCAAGACTCTATGTCTTGAGCTTCTTTGTTGTTTTTAGTTTCATACTTTACAAAAAAAAAAAGTAAATTATATTATTTTAAAATGATACAATGTTAAAAGCAAATTAATGAATAAAAAAGTAAAAAACAATATTAAATTAATGAAATTATTGTCGATAATATATTAAATAAATAATTATATAATTATCTTATTTATATAAAACAATAAATATATCACTAATTAAATTATGTACTTAAAAATAATATAATTTTATCTATTAAAATATTCTTTACTATTTTAATTAATTTTTTTTATTTTGTTTGTTATATTCACCCTAATATAATTAGAGTTAATAATGAGGATTAAGAAAAATTAAAAAGAATATCATATCAAAGATTTAAACAATATAGAATTATATTTAGAGAAACTTAAAATATATGTAAGACTATATATATTTTCTTCTTATATTTGATATGAGCCAAGTACTTAACAAGTGGCAACTATACAAATAAAATAAAATATGTAAGCATTCATATTATGTTATTAATTATTAACTTTAAAACACTACAAATATGTCAATTAAAAAAAAACTACACAAACAAAACACCAACTAAAGGTTTGAATTACATCCCGTGACCAACGATTATCCAACAAAAAGGGTTGAAAGTTGAAAGCTTAAAATTTAAATGACAAGAATTATTATAAATCTTATGTATTTTTTTTTTCACATTCATAAGACCAATCTTTTATTTTTCTTTTAAAACAACTGGGGAATCAAATAATTCCCAAACTTCTGCTAGAATATCATATTAGTATTTTTCTAGATACATAAATAGCACCATTAGTCTTTTTTCTATCCATCCAAATTGAACTTAATAATTCACCCATTTTCTTAATGTTAAATTCATTCGCAGTTAGTAAAGTACTTTTTTCATTATTAAGAAGTATTGTCTATTAAATACAAAAAATAATCTCTTTTTGAGATTTTAACTGATTTTTACTGTAAAATCTTATTAACTTTTTAAATTATAAATTAAAAGAATGATATTTTTTAATATGTTTTATTCCACTATATTAGTTCGTATTAAGATAAAGTGATGAACTTTAATTTTTAATGAAGAAGAACAATTTTGATAAAAAAAAATAAGGTTTAGTTATCTTTTTTATTTTATAATTTCACAAAGCTTTATCTTTTAGTCTTTATAATTATATATTTTTTTAATTTAGTTTGTATACATACAATTCCTTTACTCTTTATAATCACATAAACTTTATTTAATATTTATAATTAAATAAAATTTTCATCTTAATTCCCATATAAATATATAACAAAGACTAAAAATGAGAAAAAAAGTTATATATAGGAAAATTCAAATGAAATAATTAAAAAAAATATAAAAAACCCATTTATAAGATTTTTATAGAGACAAATCACAAAGCATAAACAATTCCACTTAATTACAACTAATAAATGAATCCCTAAACATTGAGAGATCTCTGAGGAGAGAGTTAGCTATCAAATATAAAAATTAAATTTTTTTTATATAAAACTATAAGAAAAATAAAATAATCATGGATGAAGTATAAGAGATAAGTTAATAAAAATGAAAAATAAAATGTAGAAAAGATAAAGATATTTTACACACTTTGTTTTTTGGTTGTGGTAAGGAAGCAAGTATTTCTAGAAGCAAGAGTGTATTATAAGTGAAAGGTGAAAGAAAACCCTAAACCCTTTGCATTTGAATTTGCATTTCCATTTCCATTATCCAACGATGGCGACTCAGATCCTCTCTCGCGTCTTCCCCAAAACCCTAACCCTAACCCCCTTCCTCTCCCGCTCCCTCTCCCTCTCCGCCACCGCCCCTCCCTCCCTCTCCGCCCTCTCCTTCCTCCGCCGCATCTCCCTCGCGGCCTCCCCCTCCCTCCGCTGC